CGTTAGTCAGATGTTCAAACTGAAGATAGGTAATTGGCCCTTACGTTACCGCTCTGAGCTGGCGCCTGTCCATGGGCGAGTAGACCTTTGGAGCCATAGTCATCATGTTCACCGTAGAGTGTGCTACCATCGTCATGCAAACTTGGGGCATAGTTGGCATAACCAGGTTGAGGTGGGTATGCATTGGGATCGAATGCAGGCATGGGAGGGTAATCTGCCATATAGCCACCATAGTCGTCCTTGTGATCAGGCCAATAGCTGTCTTTGCCCGTTCGGACGGACCCAGCATAACGACTATTGTTGACGGTCTTGATATCAGATTCATCATCGTCCAAAGAGATCGTGGGGAGCGTTGGCTGAGGGAGAGAAGACTGAGCACCGTCTTTGCCTTTCAAGTGGGAGAAATCTCCGGCAGCCTCTTTCTTGGCGATTTGGGCCTGTTTAGCCAAGCGTATTAACCCAAACGCAAGCTCCATTATAGACGCACATTCGATGCCTGTTGTGTCAAGAAGTGTCCCCAACAAAGTGTTTTGCCCAAATGTAACCTCATCCTCGCAAGCTAGTCTATTCAAGTCCTGCACCCCACTTCGACGAAGAGCTCGATCGGGAGTCATGGGAAGCAGATATTCAATAATTCAAGGTCCGGACAATGAAAGAGTTGGTTCTATCTTGTTCAAATAGCTTTTTCTTTTTCCTTTCCCCTCTTTTTTTGTTTTTATAGTAATGATGGAATACAATCCTGCGGATTTACCATCCTAACGCCTCTGCCTATCATAATGAGAGTTTTCGGTGTGGTGAGAGGTTTCACAATATTCCTTGTCCACAGGCATAGGATTGTGGTTTCGACATGGAGACCCGTGTGGCATCTGACGGGAATTTGGGGTCACATGTGCCAAGGACACTAATAGCTGAGAACGAGACGTAGCCGGGTGTCGCGAACCCACGCAGGCCATGACATTTGAGCCGTTTCAGAGTATGGAACGGGAGAAATCCAGCATACTACCGCGAGAAATAAGTTGGTTAAGGTTGCATGCCGGCGTTTAAATAAGTGAATGCAGGGTTGGCAGAATCACTCTTAAGTTTGTCCCGATAATCTGGAGAGTGGGAGTAAGACAAGAGTTCACATGTGGCAATCTCATGTTAAACCTCTTTTTGCCTTGACAAGGCGTCCATATGTGTGTTTGACTTTATGCTTACAGCGTGAAAAGCGGCGTTCTTCTAGAGTTGATCGGTCATGAGCACATGCCGATAAACTGCAGCTCAATTCACTTGGAGATTCAGGGTAAACGTGATCCCCTAAAGAAAAGGGTGCTTTGAATGCATTAGAAAAGTGCCGGTACTAGACAAGCCGCCAGAGGGACTTGGTAAGAATTAGGAAGGGGATGCAATACACCACTACGGAGAGAGGAAAAACACGACATTGTCGGTCTAAATAGTGCCAC